TGCTCTAGTAAATAGAGCATCTCCTATTCTTTGCTGCCCTCCCTGATGAATTAATAGGCAGCCACAAGATCACCTCTCAGTCTTCTCTTACGAAGGCTGAAGAGATCTAGGTCCCTCAGTCTCTCCTTGTAGGGCCTTGCCTGCAGGCCTCTGACCATATGAGCGGCCTCCCCTGAACCCTCTCAAGATTCTCCGCACCCCTCTTGAAGTGCAGTGCCCAAACCTGGACACTGTACTCCAGCTGCGGCTTGACCAATGCCACGTGTTCATCATGCATCTGCTAATGCATGATAAAGTGCGGTTAGCCTTGTTGATCACTTTGTCATGTTGACGACTCATGTTCATCTTGGAGTCGGCTATGACTCCAAGATCCCTTTCAGCTGCTCTGCTGCTGAGAAGGTCATCCCCCAGCCTATAACTGTGTTGGTGGTTCTTGTTGCCCAGGTGCAGCACTTTGCATTTGTCTTTGTTGAACTGCATCTTATTTTGTTCTGTCCATTTTTCCAACCCGTCCAGATCTGCCTGGATCCATTTCCTACCCTCTGGTGTGTTAACTTTGCCCCATAATTTGGTATCATCTGCAAACTTGGACAGGGCGCTCTCTATTGCGCACTCACTATAGAGGCAGCCTCAACCAAGATTGGCGCGTGCGCCCTAAGATGGCTACAAAACTGCTTCAGAAGACTACTTGGCACATGCTACCTCCCACACAGGAAGTGGTGTAGTCAGCTTAGTGCAGCCCTGTCATGTGCCAGTAGGCTCTACCCTCAGTACATCACCTTGCTTTTACCCCGGGCCCCTTAGCTCTGATAGTTTGCAGGCTCTGAGCTATACTGGTGATAAAAACAACTTTTGCTAGTTGTTTTGGTAGAGGTTCCATGGAAACTGCAGAATCCAAAGTTCTTGTATACAACTCTGTACCCAATTAATTTCCCCTTCACTTAAATCGGCTGATTTATTAAAACCAAATGCTGGTACAGAAATCAGAATAATTAAGCCATCTTGTATAATATTACATGACATTTTAATTGCAAGTATCCTAAATCTACATAGCCTGAAGTAGAAATGCACACAGATCTTTCTGTAAATCAGTGTAAATGCAAATGAATGTATTTGTGTTACTGTTTTAGGGATGTTTGAAGGAAATGGTTGCAGTATTTTATTATTTGGAATGCAGTCCACCTGGATGAACACGTCAGTGTTTGGAGTTGTGCAGGCACTTGCATTTGAAGGCAATTGCTACTTTTCTCAGGTGCATTAAGACAGAGTGACTAGCTGTGAAAGCTGTCTTGGTATCATGTGGGGAGTAATGAGCACAGCATACATTAAGTGATTAGAACTGGGCATTGGACACTAACATGGGATGGATCAAGATAGTCATTTTCTAAGTAAGCAATAACACAAGCTTTGTGTCTGTCACCACAACATGCAGCTGAGTTCTTCTGTCACCTGAGAAATGCATTTGTTAGACTAAAATGCGTACACATCTTGCCGTTTGGTTTATAAAATGCACTGTGTATTTTAATTTCAGTTGTGCTGTAGCACTTGTTTCCTGCTTAGTTTTGAAATCTTTTCTTAGTCCTATGAAAGGCTGTTGCACTGTCCATCCGCTCTACACACACTTTTTTATTGAAGGCTATCTCATTCTGACCTGGACAATAATGAAGCTGAAGCTTTACCAGCTCTCTTCCATCTGCCATTGGGGGAAGGGGGCTGGAATATATCCTCAAGTGCTCTCTCTCTTTTTTTTTTTTAATGGTCACATGATGATGGCAGCTTTGATTGCCTGACTCTAGGAAAACCATAGCTCAGGTTTCTATTATGTGGTCATTGTTCTCCACAAAATTAGAAGCTCCAGCCTGGACAGCCCTACTGTAATCAAATGCAAGATGAACTTGGTTCTTAAAATGTCTTACAACACAAGGGGGGTAATAAAGGATTGCAGTGATTTTCCTCAAGAGAACGTGGGATAGCCATTATGGGATAAGATGATTCCTCCTTTGCTGTTCTGCGCTAGCAGACTATTTTCGTATGCACATTTTAACTTTAAAAAAAAAAAAAGATCTTTTTTGTTTTTTATTCCCACTTTTTTTTTTTAGGAAAAACTGAGTAAGACATGCAGAACAACTTAACTTACGTGAAAGGAGAAAAAAGCTTAATTAGAGGTAAATGTTTTACGTGTTAAAAAAATATAAAAGTATTAAGGGTTGGTCTTTTCTAAGAAATAGTATTTTTTTGTTATTTTTGCAAAAGTTAAAAAGAATCAAACTTGGGTATTTTTTTAAGAGCTGAAAGAAATGATGATGTTTAACTTACTCCCACGGTGTTATCAAAGGTTTGGGCAGCACCTGGAGTTGAAAATTCTTGTTTTAAATATAAAGTCAAGTTGCAAGAAAACTATTTTCTATTGAGGAAAAAGGGTGCCTTTTAAAAACCTGCATGCCCCCCTCCCCCCACAATACTATAGAGTGAGAAGAACAGAAATAATTGAGTTTTAAGTTATTACAGTTCTACAATTGTAACAGAAGCTGGACATATATGCAAAGCTTGTGAACCTGACCATTTTACAATGATTTTAACAGAAATAATTTCTTTCAATGCATGGCAGTGCTCAAGCTTGTGTTACCAGCTTGATTACAAATATGCATTATATATGACAGAATACTTTCAGTCACAATTTAAATCTTCATACTGATGGCTATTTAAATGTGGCCACGGAAACTTTTCTGGGACTAGCTGGCCATTAGGCAACTAAGCACAATTCTTGTAAGCTCTGACTTCCACAGACTGATTTATTGCATTCTCTCTGCCAGACGGAGCAATTTCAAAACCAACCTTTCCCATCTCTCTGATAAAGTTAGTAAATAAAGTTGCTGATGGGTTTAAATAAAGTTGCTGCTGGGACTGCCCAAGTGCTCAACTATTTTCAGGTTACCTTCATTGTCTGTCTGCAAGTGTAGCTAGATCTGGTTGGGTAGCTTAAAAGAATTCATTCTGCAGGTGGGTAGCACCCCCATTTCCTGAGTAACTTGCTCCTCATTCACATCCATCCTTTTGAGTAGAATTAAAAGTCAATCTTGTTTTTAAAACATTTATAAAAATCCCACCCTAGATTCTACATGAATTCTGGCTTGCCTGTCTCAGCACATGTTCTGAGTTCACGTGTATGTGACAGTAGACCCAGTAAAGGTCCACAGTTGACAGTTTAGTGAGATTTTAATCTGGCCTTGGAATGAGCTGAATTGTGTACAAATTCAACACGTGCATTGGGTACCATAGTTCTTCTCTTGGCAGGTAAGACTATCATGAGGGGGATGGTACTCATCAATGGCTAAAAAGGACATACTTTTCTCCCTGCCTGCTCCCTAGCTAATAACAGCTGAAGATGCCTATAATATGAGTTGGGAATAGCATTGAGTATTTTAGACCTGAGGGTTGACAGAAGCCTTAAATAAAACCTAGGTTGGGGGTGGGGGCTGAGGGTTAGCTAGCTGGATTTCAGTCTTTCAAACACACAAGGAAGTGGTGCAGATTGCAAACTTATTAATGTGATGGTGTTTTATCTGACTAGCTGGCGTTTCATAGATTTCATAGACATTAGGGCTGGAAGGGACCTTGAAGATCGAGTCCAGCTCCTTGCCCCAGGGCAGAAAGTCAGCTAGGGTCAAAGGATCCCAGCAAGATAAGTGTCCAAACGTGTCCAAGCAGCCTGCACCACTTTTGGTTTGTTTCTTTTGCTTAGAAATGAATGCCTGTTCTGCATCTAGGCATGTATTTAAACATAAAAGAATAAGCTAGTTAGTGAAATAGGGGGAGGGGGATCATAGCAGGGTCTGTACTTCCCCCTGCTGCTGCTTCTGCCTTCCCCCCTCACCCCCCAGGCTCTGGTGTCAGCTCTGACTTGGCCAGGCCTGAAATGGCTGCCACTGACCCTTCATGGCCAGCCTGGGCTGGGGCCACTACTGATTGCCCTGGAGCCACAGCTGCTGCCCAGAAGATAGGCAGCAGGAGGGAGGAGAGCACAGGCATTGTGGGGAGGTGCATGTGGCAGGGGAACAGACACAGGGTGGCAGCAGGGACAGGCATTGGGGGGTCAGGCTGGGGGGGGTAGGGCAAGGAACAGGGCTCCAGCCCCTTCTCCCTCGTCAGTGTTTCGGGTGAGGGGGAGTGGTTAATTTAAGGCAACTGCAAAATTTAAGTTTTTACACGGACAATTATAACACTCAATCTTCCATGTCTAAAAATCTAATTATTGGGCAGGTAGTCTTGATTTCAGTGTAGTCTTGGATTTGGGTAGATATGCTAACTCAGGATTGTCAGGTACAAATTACGACTCATCTGATTTCCCCCCCCCCCCCCCCCACACACACACACTGTTGATAGGGAGCTCTAAAATACATAATAGAAACTTTGGTTACCCTGAGTGAGGGCTGGGAAGATTTTCTTAATCATTTTTTCTTTCCTTTGTGCCCAGGCTATCAAAGAAGATATGTAGGGTGCAGACAGAAAAGTCTTAGTTGCATCTGCTAGTGTGGTAATCCTCGTTAGAACGTCTGTACCTTTCTAATGATCATCCATTCAGCCTTTCCCTCACTCCAGCAAAACAGTGGGTAGTTCACCCAAACAAATTGCTTCAGCTACATTTAGGGGTCAGGCTGCTTGTGCTTGTGTAAGGGCAAGGCAATACTGAAGAGTCCAGGAAAACCATCCTTAGGAAAGGGGGTGGGGAGTGTAAGTCACTTTACTGCACCTTTGCTCTTATTTGTCTTCAGTTGTTGGAGAATCTCAAAGCAAATTCTGTACACCTAAGAAATTAATGTTAAACTTTGTGAGTAGCTTCCTGGGACTGACTAGAGGATATAGGGTGGGGAGACAGCCCTTCCTTCCAGGGCTTAAGCAACATGCTGCACCATTTAGAGTAGATGACTGTTTTAGATCCCTTTTCATAGAACTCATGCATTTCTATTTCAAATCCAGTAAATCATATTTAGAAACAAACGTGAAGTCAAGTGTAACTTTATTTACATGAACATGGCTGTGATAGAAAAAATGGAGCAAATCCACTTTATGTCCCCCGACTGGTCCAGATAAACTCTACAACTTATGACCATTATCTTAGCTGCAGTTTTTTGTATGGAACTTGAGGTTGAAGCAAACTACGATGGTCCAGTAATCTTGGTGACATTCACTGACAGGCTTGAAAAAAACAGTTGTAACAACTTAGTCTCTTCGTACGTAGAAGATGTTATATCCAAGCTCAATCATGCCCCCGATAAGTAAGGCCCATAAGGGAATAAATACGTAAGCTAGTTTCATGGTGGTGAATTGTTGCAGTTTAGCACAGAGGGCAAGGCAGAAGGCTAATTTAAGCAGCATTGCAATGACATACCAGGCTTTTTTCTTAATGTTCTGGGAGCCATTGCGTGGGTCGTAGCCAGACTTGCAACGTCCAGCCATTTTTACAATTAACATAACTAGAAGAATAGTATCAAAAATCCAGACTGGAATAAATATAAGAAACCAGTTCCACGGTGCTTTCTCATCCAGTTTTAACACTAACATGATCAAGAAGAGTAACGTGAAAAGCCATGTCAGCAGCACTCTCTGAGCCAGGGACATTCTCATTTACACAGCTTTAAGAGGGAATTTCTGATTGTCAGCAACAACCTAAGAAAGGGGGGGAAAAAACAGTCAAGAGATGGTGTAGACAGAATAGTGAATATCTTAAAACTTCAAAGGCAACAGGCTACTTGCTTGGCCTTGCTGTCCAAATCCTTCGCAATGTCACCTTAGTTATTACAGTAGACTCTATACCTATAGTATTTCTTTGAGACATCTGTTATTTCAATGATACTGGTCTTATCACTGTTTTGGTCCTGCTGTCCCCCCAACCCTAATCGATTCATAATTCTTAACCCCTAATGTGTGTTGCATGCTAGCTGTGCCAACTACCATGTTCTTCATTCATATCCCACTTCAATGAGAAAACATTTTATTCCATGACAAAATGCCTTAATTCTAAATTACCCATGTTTGGATTTTTTGTGCAGTTTGTCTTAATGAATATATTTCAAAATTACGATTACTTTGTTTTGGGGTTTGTAAAGGACTGAACTCATTCTTTAGGGTTGTTAGTTGTTCTTAGCACTTATTCCAGGACTATGACGCAAGAATGTTATATTGATCACTGACAGTGAAACCTATGATGAATGCTTTTCTCCAAAACGCTTTCTACAAGAGCAATCTTTTATAATCAGTGGAATAAAGTGGAAAACAATTAACAAGCACATTGAAGTGTCTTGAAAGCTAAACAGAACCAGACTGAAGGATCTAATGGGAAACAACAAAATAGTTAAAGACCATTTTTATGATTACTTGGCTAAATGACATCTAGCCCCTATATACTGTTAAAGGCAGCCTACTATCTTGGAGCCTAGAGGACCCCACTGAGCAGGATCCTATGGGCAATATGTAGTTCTTGCAAGTAGTGCCATGTGTGCCACTAATGTTAAAGTTTATCTGGTCACATTGCCAAAGCAGGGAAGAGAACAGGTCATTTAAGGAATTCACCACTTTTTCTTATCGTTCTAAATGTGTATGTGAGAGGTGGATTAGATCCCGCATCATACGGCTTTCTCTGCTTACACAGCTTATCTACTTCCTCTGTGTCAGGTCACAGTCTCAAAGTGACAAAAGTGATAGTTGATGCCAGAGACAGAGCGGGATTTTCACATCCCCTTTCTGATTTCAGCCCTAAAAAGCAGGGAACTCTAACCAGGAGACAGGAAATCTTCTCCTATTCTCTCTGCAGTGCAGACACACCATTTCTCCGGATGCTCTAGTTCTACGTTCTCTCAGGAAGGGATACAGAACACAGTTTTACAGGAGATTCTCACCCCCTCTCTACACTGTCAAGCCAATGGACCTGTATTGATCTAAACTTGCTGTTCTGTTTGTGCCTTGCTTATGTTTCCAGGAAAAGTTAGCCTCATGTTGCTATGTACAAAACTACACTGTGCGTTTGGTAGTTCTCTGCTTCCTAGCTGATTCCACAGTATTCCTACCACTAATTATATTACTATGAAAGATTTCTACATTAAGGCAATGTTAAATAGACACCCATATTTCATATAAGTGGGAATTATGTACACACTGGAAGTTAAAAGCCTATGAGGAGACAGATAGGTCTGTAGATTCATACCAAGGAAGAAAGAAATACCAGAATTGTACTATAACTGGTCTCTGATAGAATGCAATTTAACCTGCCCAAACACATGTACAGAAAACCGTTCTACAGAAGACTGGAATATCCTCCATCTCTTTTGAACACCTGTGAGAGACTTGTCTATTTACTGTTTTTAAAATCTCTTTCCTTAACTCTTTCTAGTCTTCATACCGTGGGCAGGTTCAAGTCCAACAACTTGAAACTAGAAAGGTTTTGGGATGCCCATGTCGTTTTGGCTCGGAAAACCCTCAGACTAGGAAGTAAAGGTGTAGTGTCCTCAGGCACATTCACATAACCTAGTGGAAACATTCTTCAAATGCTCAGTGCACAGTTTGTAGGGGTGTGCTGATATATCAGTTGGCTATAAGACTGGCACCAATAAAAGGAGGAATGATGCTACTGTCTTTTTTTATGGCAGCTGATAATTATGGCCACGTGCCTGGAGCACCCTGGCAAGTGTAGCCCAGTCCCTGCACCCTGCTGCTGGCCCAGGCCCATGGCAGACTATGGGTCCCAGCAAGCAGCAGGAGGAAGAGGGGGCTCTGGGGAGTGACCACAGGGTGCCGTACTCAACAACAAAGGACCATTACCGGCTCCTCCTGCCACTGTGTGGCAATGCTGCATGTGCAGCAGGGGCCTGAGCAACGGGGCTGCCACGGAGATGGGCCGCACCCAGGCAGGGTAAGATGCTGCGTGGACATTCTGCTCCACTGGGCACCGGGCGCCTTTGCAAAAGCAGCTTCTCCCCAGTGGCCACAGGAGCTCAGCTGCACAGGGCCCACCAGCATGGAAGCAGCAGCGTGCTCCTGGGCTCCAAACACACCTGGCTCCACTGTCTGCAAGAGGGTCCACCCCACCCAGGATGGCAGCATGGGCTGAGTGGGGCTGTGGGTAGGAGCTGTGGGCGAGGGGGAGATGTGCACAGGACTAAGGTGGTCACCCCCTTCCTTGTTGAGGGCTGGAGCAGGCAAGAGGCACATTTGTGTATTCAATGTAAAACAAACCAAAAAAGGTTTATTTATGTCAGTAATTTAAAATGCCTTGCACTGTTTCTAAATATCAGTTATTGGATTAGCATTGGCTGATATGGCTGGTTAATCATCAGCTATCAGTATCGGCCAAGAAAATCTTTATAGCCCTAACAGTTTGTAATTCAAATGTTAAAGCATTTTTTAAGAAACTGGATGAATGTCTACGGTTCCTGGCCCCTGGAGACTTGCTACACCCAAATATGAGGAAACTGCAAAAATGAAAATAGATTTCTTCTTATAACCTACACTACATTAAGAACAAATAAACATAAAATTGTGTACCTTTATGACTAGGATAAACACAGGAAAATTCTGTCATGATGTTATGCAAGTAGAACAAATCACATAACAAATCACTCTTAGTCAAATCCTTGACAAGCATAGTAGCAGTGCATTTAAATATCTGTCATCTATTAATGCACATAGCTAAGAGCAGTATAATGACAAAAACATCTGTCGAGAACCTAATTGTCATTCTGACAACCAAAGGAAATACACCACTTGGAACACGTGCTGAAACACTTCCTTGGCCAGTGTATTTTAAAATGTAAATAATAACAACAGAAAATGGGATGGGAAGGCTAATCACTCTTAATGATTCATGCTGAAAACAATTGAGAAATATCCTTCAGAATGAACTATATGCTAATGAACCAATAAGGCAGAGGTTTGCTCCATATTCATCAAAATGACTTGACATTTAAGCAAAATGTGACTGATTTTTAGGAAAATTTGTTAGCAATTACTCATCAATTATCCAGCTTTGACTTCCTGTGACAATATGCTCCATGTATCACCTCAAATGACATATTCCTACGGCCATCACTGTCTGAAGAAGCTGGAATGTATCACACCCCAAACAAGCATTATTCCTGAGTGATATGCTGACAGGTCATACCTCCACCCTATGTTTATATTGCAAAACTTCTTAGAACATGGGGTTAGAGCCCAAATCCATTTTTCTTTGCAGAAAGTGTTATCCTGTGGCACCTCCCACCCCCAAAACATAAGCACCCAACCTGGAGTAAGTGAACTCCAAATGCAAATTTTGAGGGTGAAACTAAGGATCTGACGTCTGGAGGCAGACGGACATGGCAACTGGTACATTTGCTTCATGTTTCTTTGTAAGGGCCATATGAGTTTTGAATGCAAACAGTGCTTGAAGTCTGTATGTACTCACCCCTTGTTAGTGAGGAGGAACAGCTAGGTGGGAATCTTGGGATATAAATGTGTTGCCCAAGAAGTAGGATTTATGGAGAATGTTTAGAAAGGAAGAGTTGATTTTTTGTTTTAGGTGCGATTATCCATATATATGGCAGGGTTGGGGAATTATTTAGGTTGGAGGGGCAGTGATGACACTACTTGGTAGAGCATGCTCAGCAGGGTGGGGAGCGGTGTCCAGGAGCAGGATGGGTGGCCAGGGCCAGGATTGCGGGGTGGTGACTGTGCAGGGGCAGGGCAGAGCTGCAATCCATTCCCCTCATGTCCCTGTGATGGGCCCTGGCCCTGCACTGTCACTACCTCATGATCCTGTCCTGGCCACCCATCCCACCCCCAGCTGCTGTGCCCTACCTGCCCATGACCCGACCCCATCCCATCTGCCTGGCTGAGCACGTCCTGCCTGCAGGGGTCCCAGGCCAGTCCACCTGCCTGCTTCCTCCGGCACTACTAGTGGTGGGTGAGGCAGACTGGCAGAAAGCCCAGTCCAGTAGCTGTGCTGTGCCCCTCCCCCGCCTGGGTTTGGGTGGGCCTTAGGGACCTGCCGGGGGCTGGATAAAATCCTTTGGCATAAGCTGTATTTTGCCCACCCCTGAGTTATAGACTATGATGGAACTACTGCTGTGACCTTCCTTGACTTGTCCTTCGTGAGAGGTTCTTCCACCAGTCCAAGAACACAAACAATCATCAATGACAGCTCCGTTTTAAGAGGAGTAGATCGGGAATTCAGGAACAAACGCAAGGACAACAGGATGTCATGCTGTCTCCCCTGAATAAAAATACGAGACATAACTACAAGTTTGGACAGGATTACGAAGTCATCTGGCAAGCCTCCACCAGTGACAATACACATTGGAACCACCGGTTCCAGCGGTGACTCAACATCATGTGAAACGAGATAGCTTAAAAGATTTACGATTTTAGAAGAGAGACTATCCAACGATATGTCTGTAAATCCTTCTGGTCCCGTGACCGAGAGAAGATGGAACATACTGGAAGTGAATGCTGGGCTGTACAGTCTCGAGCTGCGTCCAACTGAAAGCTTTGGTGGTATGAAACGTGGCCAAATACCTGTGAGAAGGGAGCCACGGGACTAGGGCAGCTTTCATCTGTCAGCAGGGGGAAGGGGGCTAACCTTCTCAGTAAGAGATTAGGAGAGACCAATCCCCCTCCTCCAATATAAGGTGAGGATGTTAAATAAGAAAATGTGGGGAAATTTCTAGCTTTCTGTGTTTTAAGCTGAATCAAAGTGACGAAGAATACAGGAGAAAATAAATTAATAGTTTATATACTATTCATGAAGACTTAAAAGACCTCAGTGATAACCAAAAAAGTCTGGAAAAATCTCTGAAAAAAAAATGGTATTCCTGATACCTGGTGGTATCACTATAAGTCATTTGATGTCAAAATTAATTTTTTTAAAATTTTTTTCGCAAAGATCTTGATCTAATAAAAGATAGCATGTCTACTAAGAGTCCCGATTGCCTGAGACCTGCTGGGACAGAGGACATTATACTTGGCGATTATGTCTATTTCTAAAGGTCTCGGTAGAGGAGAAGCGAGGCCTGGCAAGCGACACGGAAACAAACCGATCACCAGTTTGAGACGCCTGGGCCTCCTACACGTGCGGGTCAAGGTGCAGTGGGCTCTAACGTGTGATCCACACAATGGCGCATTACATGCCGCCGCACCGTACTGCTGGTGCAGGGGCGCAGCAGCGAGCTCCTGCGGCTGGAAGCACGGGGTCCAGCTGCGGGGCGCCCGGCGCCGGACGATGCAGCTGCTGCGACCTGCCAGCGGCGGGGGGGTCTGCGCTACCCCGGGTTCTGGGGCCCGGGGGGC